TGATTTATATTACCTGGAAAATCAGATGGCTCTTATTCATTTGCTGATGTATTTAGGGTGGTTTTTGTTTTTTGACTATTACAGAAAAAATTGCTATGAACGTTCACGTACAAATCTTTGTTATGGACATATAATTTCATTTCTTTTGCTTAAATACTTGGGAGTGGAATGGCGGAGTGTGAAGGTTGATGATTTTTTCTCCTGGAAGTTGCCAACTGTTTTCGAAGGGTCTGGCAGCCCCAGTTAACATTTCACCAGCAGCAGTGTGTGGAAGTTCCAAGGGCTACACTTTCTTGCAGACACTTTGGCTTCTTAATTTTTGTTTTAATGGGTTATAGTTGCCTGTCATTGTTACTTAATTCGGAATTCTCTAATGATAAATGATGTTGGGCATCTTTTCATGTATTTCCTGTCTGTATCTTCTTTGATAAAGTGTTTATCCAAAACTTTGAAAACTACACATTTTTTTTGTTTTTTCTATTGCTGAGTTGTCAGCATTTTTATGTAAATTTTGATCCAATCCCAGTATGACATATAATTTTGAGGTAATTGCTATGAATCTTTGAATTGTGTTCTTGTTGCTTAACAGTGCCTTCTTAATATTAGACACTCCTCATTTTGAAAGAAAATAAATGATCAATTTTTTCATGTATGAACATTTCTTCATCGATTTTAAGAAAACCACCTATTGGATCTAGGTTTTGCTTGTTTCCTCCAGGTGTTTTACAGCTTTAGATGTTGCATTTGTGTCAAGGATCCATTTTGAGTTAATTTTTATATAAGTTTTAATGTATGGATCAAAGTTCAATTTTCACGCACGTGGATACTGAACTGTTCCAACATGTTGAAGGGACTTTACTGTCCCAACTGAATGTTTTTCAATCTTGTTGAAAATAAGTTGATCACTTATGTCTGTGTCTATTCTGGATTCCATTCATGCCATTGGTTGTTTATCTTGATACATATATCATAGCATTTTGATTACCTAGAATTATAATAAGAACTTCCTTTTTTTCTAACATAGGCATTTATTAATGTAATTTTCCACTAGACAGTGCTTTAATTTCATCTAAAAATTATTCAGTGTTCTGTTTTCATTTTTTTTAGTTCAAGTTGTTCCCTTATTTATTTTTCTTCTAGGCTCCATGGAGTTATTTAGTTTCCATTTGTGAGTTAGTTTCCAAAATATTTGAGAATAGTCCAAGTATGTGTCTGTAGTTGACATAAAATAATTTACTTCTAAGTAATTGGAGATCAGTGTATTGTGTCTGTTGTGAATTAGTTTTGAAACACTGACATGGACCAGAATATATTCTATCTTGATAAATATCTGTGTGTACTGGAAAAAAATGTATATTGTACCATAGAGTGTTTATTCAAAGAAAAACAATGGCATAAAAAATCAACTTTGAACTATGACACAAAAAGTGGGAATAGTATATTACTGTTCTATTAGTAAGTTGTTGAAAATTTAGTGTAGTTTAGCTCAAGTCAAATTTCTGTTGAAAATTTATATGAAATACACATTCCACTATGGTATACATAGGGCCTGGGAGATGAGATGATCAATAATCTGTAATCTTGTAAGCAAATTTAATCACTTGTTTTATGAACAAAATGAGTCAACCTCTTATTAAATATTAATGATTTGCTTTTTGTGAAGCAATACTCTCTATTAGATGACTAGCCATGAATTTATATTGTAAAAAATTTCCATAAACTCATGTCTTGTTATTTAAAGGTAACAAAGTGGTAATGCAATTATTGCTTGTTCCTCATTCAATACAAAACTAGTCTTAAGAACTAAAGAATCATACAGTAACACTGTATATAGATGTATACATTTTAAAGTACCTGCTTTACTAAAGTAAACAAATGGGACTATAGCAAACTAAAGAGCCTCTGTAGAGTAAGGAAACCATCAACAAAATGAAATGGCAATGTACAAGATGAGAAAATATATTCACAAATATCTGATAAGGAGCTAACATTCAAAATATATAAAGAATTCATACAACTCAACATCGAAAAACAAATAACCCAATTAAAAGATGGGCACAGAATCTGAATAGACATTTTTCCAAAGAAGAAATACAGATGGCCAACAGGCACAGGAAAAGATGTTCCATCACTAATCATCGGGGAAATGCAAATCAAAACCACAATTAGATATCACCTCATATCTGTCAGATGACCACTATCCAAAAGACAAGAAATAACAAGTGTTGGTGAGGATGTGGAGAAAATGGAAACCTCCTACTCCATTGGTGGGAATATAAATTAGTTCAACCATTATGGAAAGCAATATGGAGATTGCTCAAAAAAAAAAAAAAGAAATACCGTTTGACCCAGGAATTCCACTCCTAGGAATTTACCTGAACAAGACAAGATCCCTGATTCAAAAAGACATATGCAACGTATGGAAGCCACCTAAGCGTCCATCAGTAGATGAATGGATAAAGAAGATGTGGTACATACACACAGTGGAATATTATTCAGCCATAAGAAGAAAACAAATCCTACCATTTGCAACAGCATGGATGGAGTCAGAGGGTATTATGCTCAGTGAAATAAGCCAGGCAGAGAAAGACAAGTACCAAATGATTTCCTTCATTTGTGGAGTATATCAACAAAGCGAAACTGGAGGAACAAAACAGCAGCAGACTCACAGACTCAAGAAGGGCCTAGTGGTTACCAAAGGGAAGGGGTTGGGAGAGTGGGGGGAAGGAGGGAAAAGAGGATCAAGGGGCAGTATAATTAGCAATCACAATATAGGTCGGTCATGCAGTACAGCACGGAGAAGATAAGTAATGATTCTGTAGCATCTTATTGAGCTGATGGACAGTGACTGCAATGGGCCTGGGAGTAACTTGATAATATGGGTGAATGTTGAAAGCACAATGTTGCTCATGTGAAACCTTCATAAAATTGTATATCAATGATACCTTAATTAAAATATATATATATATATATAAAGTATTCCCATTATCACAAGGATCCTTCACTTTGTTCTTTTATAGTAACACCCACACAGCCCACCAGCTTCAGTCCCCTCCTTAAAACCTCTCCTTAAAGCCTGGCAGTCCTAATCTGTTCCCCATCTCTGTAATTTACCTTTCAAAAATGTTATATAAAGGAATCATTAAGTAAAAAAAAAAATTCATTCTTTAGAAAGCTGGGTACATGGTACATCAAATAAAAGCTATTTCTACTGTCATCTAAAAACTAAAATTGCCCCTTTTTATGGTCTCCCAAACAGTATCTGTGTTCCTGAAGGCATTCAGGTAATACAAGGATGGTGTGCATGGGGTGGGGGGGTGTCCCCTTTCATAACTCACTACAAAGATACTTTTCATTCACTCAATTAAACCAGAGGTATTTTGAGGAAAATACTATAATGTGCATAATTAATAAATAACAGCTTAGGTTAGAATTAAATATAGTGTCAGGGGTCTCAATTATAAATTGTGAATAATAAAAATAGCTGTCACCACATGCCAGGATTTGTCATGAATCCTATATATTTTCCCTTACTTTATCCTCCCATCAACTCGACAAGAAAGGCACTATTACTATCCAACATTGCAAACGAGGAAGGTGAGGCACAGATACGTTATCAGGTAGGTGTCAGCAGCAGGTATTCTGCCAGTAAGTTGAAAAGCAGAACCTCTTTCTTAGCAGGTGTGGGACAGTCCCCCTAACATCCTTGTCCTCTGCTTGTGAACTTCGACTTAAAGGAGCAACATATTGCTGACAAGGTGTGGAGATTGTGTGTGTGTGTTTGTTTGTTTTGTTTTACTATAAGCGTTTATGTAGTCATTCAGCTCTTCTTTAGAATAATTTTAAGATACAAATCTAGGTTTATTTTGCTTGGCTTCAAACGGAATTTAACTATCATGTATCTGCTGCCATCTTGTGTTCATTTTCTGGAATTACCCTTTATGTGAAGGAATTTTTAAATCGTGAGATGAATTAAAATGTCAATTTGGCAGAAAGAAAAAAAATGTTTTGTCAGCTTTTAATTATTTTCTACAGAAAAGATATATTTCTATCAAAACCAAATGTAACTGAGGGGAGAGAACTGATAGAACACGCCCAACCCGGGCATAGGATCTCTTACTACAAAGATCAGCTTCGCAGTCATCTGGACCGGACCATCTTTACATGTGGTTCCTACCTATAAGATAGATTCATGAGGTCAGGATCATCTTCTCTAGAAAGAAAGAGAGAGAGAGGCGAAAAAGAGAGAAAGAGAGACAGAGAGAGAGACAGAGAGAGAGAGAGAGAAAGAAAAAGCTGTCCAATAAAACCCAACTTTGAAATATGCTTATTAAAATCTTAATCACTGTATGCAACCAATTTAAAAAACAAGTTGTACAAATCACTTACATAAAGATGGGCATGAAATGTCTACACTTACAGTGATGATAATGTATCTTAATATGCACAGCAGCCACCTCTGGGTGTCATAAGAGTATTTTTGAGGAAATTGACAGCACCTCTTTGGACACTGAAGTCCTAACAGGACTGGGACTTAAGGACAGTCAAATCTTACCAAACAGCAGTTAGATTAACTAACACACTGAAGCCCAAACATGAGAACACAGCTTTTTTTGTTGGATCATTCTGTACACTCCACTGCATTTCTTTCTGCTCTTGAGTCCTAAGAATAATACTTTTGAAATAAATATCCTTATTTCTTTGCTTAAGATCACTCAGATTAGTTTCCCTTAACTAATACTAGCTACAAGAATCAGTATCACATAGGAAGACTACTGGTAGTAGTTCTAAATTTTCATATTATATTAATGAGATGTATATTTAGAAAAATAAAGAAAAATATTTGGAGGTGTGTGCATACAATTTTTTTAAGGTATTGGCTAAATGATATTTTATACCTAAATCTGCTGAACTGAAATAAAATATTTTTTAAATAATGCTTGAAAGACGACTTATGTTTCTTTGGGAGAATGCATATCTAAAAGCTGTGTGAAACCAAGCTATATAATACACACACTCATGACAACACAGACAAATGCAGAAATATGGAGAGACAAAAACATTTGGCATGATGCTACGCCACAGCCAATAGTGTGAAAAATGGTCCAAACAAACTGTAACAGTAAGGCAATTATTATTTTTTTTACAGATTTGATATTTCATATTATGACTTCACCAAAACTACTCTTCTACCTGATTTACAAAAATTTCTTGGGGGTAAATTCAAAGATTGCATGATTCTAACAAATGCACACTTTCCTTAAGAGACCCTATTGCACTCAGAGCCTAGCAGAACACGTAAGTAGAAGAAAACAGGAGAAAATCTTCCATCACCTGGAATTGTCAATAATTTCCTGAATATGACACCAAAAGCAAGCAATACAAGAACAAAATAGAAAAATTGGAATATTTCAAAATTGAAAATCTTGATGTATCAAAGGACACAATCAACAGATTTAAAAGGCAAACCATGGAATGGAAGAAAAGATTTGCTGGTCTTAATATGTACAAGGTATTAATACCCAGAATATGACAAACTCCCACAATACGATAACTTAAAAACAAACATCCCAGATAAAAACTGGGAAAAGACGAAATACGCAGAAATTCTTTTGTGGCAACAGTTTTGGTGAATAACTAAAACTCTTACTTCTATGCAATTTGGTTGCTTCAATTAATTAATTGAAGATTCATTTAATCTTCAGTGATATTAGGCTAAGATGCCCAAAAATATGTAAATATGAAAGTTCACATGAGTGCTTTTTGTTAGTGTTATGATAAAAATATTCTTGATATTTGTGTACTTGTGTAGGAAATGCTAATGGCTTTTCTGAAAGTCAGTAGTAAATACCCAATTTCCATAGTCTTCATATTGCTACAAGATGGGCTCATGCTGTAGCAGCAAAAATCGTTCTTAGGGGCAGTTCGATATAGTTTCATATCACACATCTCCCAAATGTAAAGAAACCCCCATGGTGGTATTGCAGGTAGCTGAGAAAACCATACAGAGTGGAAACCTTCCAGCTCTAACTGCCATTCATCCGGTCATCACTGCCATTCATGAAGTTTTTTACATTTTTAGACTGCGATTCTTTTCTCTCGATGATCAGGATCTATAATCTGAAAATTTGAATATTCAATTTAAAAAAAACAAAACTGTTTTAGGTCACATTCACCGTCATGAAAAGGTACAAACACAAATACAGCCAGGGTGACTTCATTATTACCAGGTTACTTAACTGTTCCTGGTGGCTTTGATCCAACGACGTGGGATCACGTAGACAGACAGCGTCTTGAGGTCTGCTGCTTCTCTGCACTGTCCGCTGTGAGTTCACTGCTTCGACAACATTTTGTGTTTCTATGCAGCATTTTCACTCCAAGTCTACAGTGGATGAGTAAAAACCAAGCACATGGTCTTCATAAAATTTCCATGATAAAATTCTGGTTTATTTTTCCTAAATAATCCAAAGCCACTAATTAATCTTCAATTGTGTAAGTTAAAATAATGAGGTCATTGTTAAATATTTTGGTTGGAAGAAGAAAAGCATCTCAACGGCTCATTCATTGAATTCACAAAAACAAAATTTGGTAATAATTTCAGACATAGTACAGAGTTGAAGGAAGCTTCCCATAAATCAGAGCAGGGTTAGAAATCAATCCCAGTCATTCTTTAGCAGTTTAACCGTGGATGTGCTATTTAATCTCTTTCTTTTTCAGTTTCTGCCTCTGTATCCATTACCCACTTTTCACACCTAAAGTTTGTTTCAAAGATTTAATGAGATACTGCAGGCAGTACAATTGTGATATGCTAAATCTTGTACTGTGTGCCCAATTAATGAAAGCTTTTATTAGAATTAAGTATAGCATCAGATACCTTAATTGAAAACCACGAATGAAAAAAATGAATAGCTAACATAGCATGTCAGGATCTGTTACTAATTCCGCATATATTTGCCCTTTATCCTCCCGGCAACTCTACAAGAAATGTACTATTATTATTCCACTTTGCAAATGAGGAAACTGAGGCACAGAAACGTGATCATGTAGGTATTGCAGGAGCTAATTCTACAAGATCAAAGGCAGAACCTCTTTACTAACAGGTGTGAGACAAGTAATCTACCCAACACCCTCGTCCACTCATAGTGTATGGCCACTTAAAGGACTGCACTTTTGGATATTTTAGGATGTCAATCTAACAAGAGTTTCGTGGGTTCCTTTTTTCCAGCCCTTGGTATAAAAAAAATTAACCAGCTTGAGTTTATGCTTCCATCTTGTGGTCATTTTCTAGAATTACAGTTCATGTCAATGAACGTTCCAAATCTTGAAACCAGTTAAGAAACTCAATAGCCTAGCACAGAGTGAAACCATGGTTTTGCAGCTTTTAAGAAAAAAGATACATTTCTGTTAAGGTATATGGAAGCCAAGGAATAGAGTTGACAGAACACACCCTATCCATTGTTTCTGCCAGCACTGGGAGCGCTAAGGCAGAGAAATCTTACCTGTTTACGGTCAGGGTTCAAGGGCTCGCATCTGAAAGGACCCTCTAAGTCAGAGATGATGGCGTCCACGCGCGCTGTGTTGCTCTACGCTTTCCCTTTCCGCGGTGAAGGTCTTATTCCCCAGTAGCTGGAAGACCTGCCCACAGACAGCTACACTGTCTGTTCTCTAAAAGTGCCCTTATCCTCTCCCCGAGGCAGCCCACATCCAAGACAGGTTGATGTAAAGGGCAGGCCGTATGTATAGTTTAATAAATAACCTGTGGGGTTTATTAGACTTCTGACTACATCCTAACTCAACTTATGCTCCCAGCTTGCTTCTCTCGGCTTTTCACAGGAGGGTGTGAAACGAGAGATATTTCCCCAGGAAGCAACCTGTGTGCTAATTTCTATCTCAGAGTCTAATTATCTTATCTTAATGGACAAACTACCTTCAGTTTTCATTATGTAGTTTGCAGCTCAGATAACTTTAAACAGGCTCTCGAGACAGTACCTCTAATTAATGTTAGTAAGATACTCCTTTTCTGTGATACATCCATGATTAAAATCATGAATGAGTATTCGTGGTTGTTGGAGTAAAAGCAAGACTTTTGGCTTTAACAAGTGGCTCCATTTTATCATGTTCTAACCCTATATTGTATATGTCATCCTCCTTCCCTCCTTCGTTCCTTCCTCCCTTCCTCCCTTCCTTCCTTCCCTTCTTTCTTTTTGAAAATCTCTGCCTGGAAGCTGTGTTTGCCTCACCAGTTCTACTCTTGTTCCTTTAATTGGCTGCTGCTAATTCTGTCACTTTCTATGCATGTTCTACGCATTATAAAACAGCTCAGTTCCAATATTCCATTTGAAATATTACTCAATTTTACCAGTACATTCAATCTATTATCTTGGTCATCCCTCATACCGTTATACCTTAGCACTTAAATAAATGCATTACTTTTCATTTTCTAATGTTTTCTCTGTGTTTGTCTTTTCCCCCCAATATTAAGGTTTTTGAAAACAGAAGGTATGCAGTCCATACATTCTTTTACCTGTTCAGCCCCTCTTAGGCACTGTTATTGTTCATCTCAGAACCAAGGAGTTTGAACCCTTTTGCCCTAAGTGACTTCAGACAAGCCATTTAACTTCTCTGAGATTCAGATCTTTAATCCATAAATGGAGATACTATTATCCACCTCACAGGTTGATTGCAGGAATTAAATGAGTTAATGTAACAAGGTTCTGGAAGAGTGCCAGTCGATAATATGCACGTCAGCTACAGCACTCACAATGTAAGAATGCCTATGCAGCTGTTGATTTTTATAGTTTTGTTCCAATAACAGTTTGGACTAACAAGTCCAAGAGAGAAATTCCAAAATCATTTTTCTATTCATGGGCCTCCTCCCCTGTCGTCATTTTCATGAGGAAGCTGCCTCTTGGACTCACCCTACGGAACCTGCTCTGTTTCTCACCCTTCTTACTCCAGGCCAGTCCAGGACTAAGGAACCAGCTCCAATATTTCAAAAAGCTGCGTAATACTTCTGGGAGATAACAAATGTGAGGCTAATCATCTCATCCACCTGTAACTGTTCTATATTTGTTTTGGTTTATAGTTCATAGTCTGCTCACACAGCAGGTTTGTAGTGGATAAACAATTTCTTTCTCACTGTATCAGATACAAAGAAACTGGGATAGATTTGCCAATATTGGTATCTTTGCCCAGTGAAGATGGCTTGAATGGCCTCTGTAAATTGTCAAACAAAGTTTGCCGTCCTGACGATACTGGCTGGAAGCATCAGCATCAGCTGGGAGCTTGTGGAAGTCTCCATCCCGACCTCCCAAATCAGGACGTCAGAGAGTGGGGACCGGGGAAACTGCATTAGCAAATTCTTCAGGTGATTCCTAAACACCCTCAGGTGTGAGAAGCACTGTCCCAGGGTTTGTTAAGAAGACAGTAGACCGTCTGAATTGGGATGGATGCCGTGTCCTTTACGAACTGTAAGATTTGGGAGAAGTTACTTCCCCTGGGCCCCTGTTTCTTCTGCTCCATGAAAGCTTTGTTTGTGGAGATCAAACTTTTCATATATTGAAAGAACATAGAACTGAATAGAACTTCAGGGCACGCTATCACGTGGGGCATCATTGTTTTCATGGTTGAATTCACGTTACCATCTTCTGATTGTTGCTGGTAGCTGGAAATACTGCTCTCGTAAGGGTGTTATATGTGGTAGTGATTTGTTCTTGCACAGTTGGTGACTTGGTGAAGAATATTATATGGGGTTCCAGCTGGTTTTGCTTATTCCTAGGAAATTGTTAATTAGTCTTGATTCCTTTAGACAGGATTTATCACATTACGTATAGTATTTGTAGACTTACAGGTAACATTGAATTTATCAAGTGAATAAATAGTAAGATATAGTATTTTTGAATTTATGATTTCTCAGTATATTTGTTTCCTTTTCTCAAGTACTAGTTTTGAATGCTTCTGAGTGAGTCTGACATTGCCCAAGTCTATGGCATAGTGCACTGGATATTCTGTGAATAAAGCTTTGAAATTTAGGATTGGTATGTTGGGCCATATGGTAACATTTTTTTTTATTGGGTAATACAAAACAGAGTATGAGAAAGCTTGATATGACATCTTTTGCTAAACTTCCTACCCCACTACAAGTGTTCCCTTCATCTTGCAAATGAACCACTTACACTTGAGTTCTTGTCTAAAGGTTTTTCAGGTTTTTCAGTGATACTGTGAGTATCATTATTAGTACAAATCCTCAAAGGTCATTCATTCAGAGTCTACGTGTTTTTATTTTCAATAAAATGAACACCAAATGTCTGTATGCATATGTATAGGAAATTTTTAATTAGGGAGAATTTATCTCAGTCTACAATCTAGGATTTGTAGCTGTTTCTTAATTTTTTTTAACCTCCCATTCTAAAGTTACTAAGAAGAAAAATAAATGGCCTCATGATACATCCTCTTCCAACATTTACTCTTGTATTAATGGCTTTTCTGTTATTTGCTCTATTGCACAAAAATTGAGTCTCTTGAAACAAATTTAACCTGTTTCAATTTCCACCCCAATTTCTGTGGCCGACTCAGGCGTCAACATCCCTGAGGATGAGTGTAGCCCTGCGATGTCTCAGGCCCTTGGAATCCTCCTCATTTAAACTTCCTCTTCTGATCCTCTAGCTCTCCCGCTCTCACGGCCTCATCCTGAATATGATGGCCACCCCACAATGTCAGGCCTCCCCATCAATCTGTCAAGCATCTCCCCACCTGACCAGGATCTCTGTTCTTCCAGGTTGCAAGGGTCACCCACTCTGACTGCTGTTCAACATAACGTGGCCCTCTAGTTCACTCCGCGTTCTGTCTATTCAACTCTCCCTTGCTTGTTCTTCCTTCCCTAACCGTGTTCTGTCATTTACAAAGGTCTTCTGCCAAAACTCTGACACATTTGCCTTCCCATCACCTCCTTCCAGAGAGAACAGAGAAGGATCTCCTGCTCCTGCGGTGGAGAGTCAGAGGACCCCAGCCTCACCTGCAGGTGGTGAGACGGGCAGACATTGAGAGGGAAACAAAGCAAGAATATTTAAAGAAGACTTAACACCAATAATTATAAAAGTCATCTAAAAATTTAAAGATTAGGAAACACCTCCTAATACCTTCTATGAAGGCAACATTATTCTGATCTCTATAAAGGCAGACAAAACACTCTAAGAACTACAGACCAATATTTTTTAGTAGCAGTGATGCTAAACTCCTCAACAAAATGCTAGCAAACTGAATTCAATGGCATATTAGAAGGTTTATACACCATGACAAAATGGGTTTTATTCTAGCAGAATAAGGATGGTTCAACATGAAAATCAAGCAATGTAGTCCACCACATTAACAGACTGATGGGGAAAAAACATGATCATATCAAATGGTGCAAAAAAAGCATTTTACAAAATTCAGCACATTTTCACGATAAAGACACTCAACAAACTAGTAATAAAACTATCTCAACATAATAAAGACCTCTGCCAACATTGTAGTTAATGGCAAAAAACTGAAATTATTCCTCTAAAATCAGGAACAAGAAGCTGCTGGCTTTGGAAGTCTTAGACAGAGCAATTAGGTAAGAAAAAAATAAATGTTATTCAATATGGAAAGGAAGTAAAATTATTGCTGTTCATAGATGATATGATCTTATATATAGGAAACCTTGCATCTTATATGTAGTAATATCACAAAATTTCTTAGAACTATAAATTAAGGACATATGTGGAGTTCAAGACCAGCACACAAAAATCAATTGTGTTTCTACATGCCTGCAGTGAACAACCTGAAAAGGAAATTAAGAAATTAAAATAGCATTAATAAAATAGCATCCTTATAAATAAACCTAACTAAGGAGGTAAAAGATTTGTTACACTGAGGCTAGAAAATACCACTAATAGAAATTCAAGAAGACTCAAATAATGGGAAAGACATCCAGTGTTCATGGACAGGAGGACTTAAAATTTTTAGCATGTCAGTATTACTCCAAGCAATCTACAGATTGAATGCAATCCATATCAAAATATCAATGACTTTCATTTTTCAGAAGTAGAAAAACTCATCTTAAAATTCCTAAGGTACCTTGAGGGGCCCCAGATAGGCAAACAATCTTGAAAAAGCAGAACAAAGTTGGAGGTCTTATGTTTTCTGATTTCAAACCTTACTGTAAACCTATAGTAATCAAAACAGTGTGGCACTGGTATAACAATAGGCATAGAAAAAAATTGTGAAATAGAATAGAAAGCCCAGAAATAAACCCTCATATATATGGTCAAATGATTTTCATCAAGGGTGCCAAGACCATTCAATATTTGAGAAACTGGACATTCACATGCAAACATATGAAGTTGGACTATACAAAAATTAATTCAAAATGGATCAAAGATCTAAATTTAAGATCTGCAACTACAACACTCTTAGAAGGAAACACTGGGGAAAACTTCATGATACTGAATTTGGCAATGATTTCTTGGATATAATACTAAAAGTACAAGCAAAACACTTTAAAAAGGTAGATAAATTGGATTTCATCAAAATTTATAACTTTTGTGCAGCAGAGGACATTATCATCAGAGTGAAAAGGCAACCCAAGTGGTAGGAATTAATATTTGCAAATCACACACCTGATAAAAGACAGGTATTTAGAATATATAAAGAATTCTTACAACTCAACAACAAAAATACCAAGCAATTTGATTATATAATGAGCAAAGGACTTCAATAGACATTCTTCCAAAAAAAGATACATAAATGGGTGATAAGCACATGAAAAGGTGCTTGACATCACTAATTGTTAGCAAAATGCAAATCAAAATCACAGTGAAAAACCACTTCATACCCCTTACAATGGCTATTATAAAATAAATTAAAAAACAACACAAAATACAAAAAATGTATTGTGTTATGGATTGAATGTTTATGTCCCCTCAAAACTCATATTCTGAAGCTTTAACCCAGCACTGTGAGTCTATTTGGAGATGGAGACTCTAAGGAAGTAATTTAAGTTAATGATATCATAAGGGAGGAGCCATGATCTGATAGGATTAGCAACCTTAAAAGAAGATGTGGCAGAGCCCTCTTCCCCTCCCTCCCTCCCTCCTTCCTTCCTTCCATCCTCCCTCCCTCCCTCCTTCCTTCCTTCCTTCCTTCCTTCCTTCCTTCCTTCCTTCCTTCCTTCCTTCCCTCCCTCCCTCCCTCCCTCCTTCCTGTTCTCTCTCTCTCTTTCTCTCTTGGCTTATGCAGAATAAAAGAACAGCCACGTGAGGACACAGTTAGAAGTTAAGCCAGGAAAAGAAACTATGTTGCAGAGGTTCACACACTTCCAGCTACAGAACTGTGAAATTTCTGTTGTTTAATCCATCCAGCCTGTGGTATGTTGTTATGGCTGCCCAAGTAGACCAATAGAGTGTGGATGTGAAGAGACTGGAAATTTCATTGCTCCTGAGAATGGAAAATGGTGAAGCTGCTATGGAAGACAGCATGGAAGTTCCTCAAAGAATCAAACATACAATTCCCATATGATCCAGCAGTTCCACTGCTGCATGTACACTCAAAAGAATTGAAGGCAGGATATGAACAGATATTTGTATACCAATGTTTATAGGAGCATTATTCTCAATAGCTGAAATGTAGAAACAGCCTACACACCCATCAATGGGAACATTCTCAATAGCTGAAAGGTAGAAACAACCTATCAATGGATGAATGGCTAAGCAACAGGTGGTATATAAGTAAAATGGAATATTATTCAGGCTTAAAAGAAATAAAATTCTGACACATGCTACAACATGGATGAACACAGATTGAGGATATTGCGCTAAGTGAAATGAGGCAGACAGAAAAAGACAAATACTGTATATTCCAATTATATGAGGCATTCAGAGCAGTCAGACTCAGTCACAGAGAGGAGAATGGTGGCTGCCAGAAGCCGGAGAGAGTGGGGAATGGGTGGTGTTTGTTGAATGGGTGAATAGCTTTAGTTTGGGAAGATGAAAAGTTCTGAAGATGGATGGTGATGATAAGTGCATAAAAGTAGAATGTTTTAATTTATGCTACTAAACATTAATGTTATGCAACTTAAAAATGGCCAAAATGGCAATTTTACCACAATACAAGTAAATCAGGAATAAGGGGATTCTCTGTATTACAAGGTACTATCATTTTCATTCTTTACAAATATTACAAATGTAATTTGTAAGTGACATTGATGTTTTGTGATTTTGGTACTTCCCAGAAAATCAAATGTGTGAAAAACTAACTGAAAAGTTAAGCATCTTCCTTAGAGCATCTTTTCAGGGACACAGTTTCCTTGTAATCCAAAGTATAAGAGGAACTCAGTGGGCCAGGTGTAAGTTTGCAAAAAGTGGGTAGAATGACTGTCCATGGATATCAGTCACCTATTTTCCACACACGCTTATAGTCACTTAACCAATGTGTATATTTGCAAGTACACAGGTTACCTGGGTGTAACGCTCAATTGTTACATCATCATCCATTGATATCCATTTGCCATAAAATATTTAGACTCATTGTACCAGGTTCTGATTATTTTTGAACACAAGATAGGATAAGATGTCAAATGCATATTTTCTCCCCAGAAGGTATCTGAAAGGAGGAAAAAGGTTGGGTCATATTCTAAAAAACTTGGAAATATTTTACAAGAATACTCTCCTCATTTTTATTTTACAAATGTTTCACTGGTCATCCAAGCAGTGTAAGAGGTGACAAACTCAGCCGTCTCTGCTGGCAATCTGTCTCGTCAATGAAATAACTCACTTGTGGCAAGATAGGATAAGATGTCAAATGCATATTTTCTCCCCAGAAGGTATCTGAAAGGAGGAAAAAGGTTGGGTCATATTCTAAAAAACTTGGAAATATTTTACAAGAATACTCTCCTCATTTTTATTTTACAAATGTTTCACTGGTCATCCAAGCAGTGTAAGAGGTGACAAACTCAGCCGTCTCTGCTGGCAATCTGTCTCGTCAATGAAATAACTCACTTGTGGCAAGAAGTTGACAGTAGAAGATGAGATGCAAGCTTGGAAATCAGATCAGCCAATATTTCAGACTATGCCATTTCTAAGCTGATGTTTCCAAAAGGGTGAACCAATCAGCAGCCTGGGAGTTGTAACAGTGCCCCCCATGGTTTGACAACACCCACAGAGAGGTATTCATGATGGAAGGACCTTGAAATAAACATCTGCCCATTTAGCCATCCACCTGTGCTGTGGGCTCTTAATCAAACGTGGTATTTGGAAATTATCTGCCTTTCTGACATTGCTAATATACAGCTCAGCAGCATTAGGTCAGGATGCCCAATAATTTGTAAATGCTGAAATGAATTATTGTTTTAAAAATATTTTGAAATAAACATCTCATGAATATTATTAGTGTATACTTGTATAGGAAGTACTAATGGCTTTTCTGGACACTAGGAGGGATCTACCTAATATATATGCCATGAGATGGACTCATTTTTGAGCACCTAACATTGTTCTTATAGGCATCTTAGGAGACTTAAATAGAACTCACTTCTCAACTGTGTTAGTGTTCCAAAGCTAATGATATCCCTAGGGTGATCTGGGAGTAGCTGAAATATCTACCTAGAGTGGACACCTTCTAGCTATCCAGCTGCCCATGGAGTCACGTACTATGTAATGTCGTATTACGTACTATGCAATGTTGAGAGCTTTGGTTCTTTTCTTCTGATGATCAGAATCTGGAATTTGGAAATTTGAACATCCACATTTAAAAATTAATAATAGTGAAACACTGCAGTGGGCCACAATTTCCTGCCACTTATGGGGAAAATGTAAATACAGACTATGGATGTATTTAAGCTACCCTCACCAGGTAATTTAATAATCCTTGCAGACTTTTAAGCACAAAGATGGGTCATAGAAACATACACCTACTTGTAATTCGCCTCTTAAGCGCATTTACTCTCTGTCAATTCACACTCCTTTGACAACAGTCTGGCATTTTGGGCAGCTCCTTCACTCCAGCTCTGCAGTGGAAGGGTAAAACAAAAACACGTGGTTTTATTAACATCTCCATGATAAGATTCTACTTTTTTGTTCCTAAAAATCCAAGGCCAGCAATATCCTCAATTGTTTAAGCCAACAATTTAAATAATAATAATGCTTTAAAATATTCTGTTTGGAAGAGGAAGACAAAATTTTCAATTCATGTTTTAGTCCTTGAATTTGCAAAACCAAAATTTGGTAATAACATTCAAATGTAGCTTTTTTCCCCCCCTCTCTCAAAAGTATTAGAGAATTTAATTAAGTGAATGGTTCTAGTAAAACAGACCAGTGTTAGTAATCCATCCTATCATTTATTAGTTTTACCTCTGAAACATTATTTAAATGAAACAATTTTACAATCTATGAAATATTATTTAATCTCTTTGAATCTCAGTTTCTTCATCTGTAAAATGTGACCCATTAATTCACACATAACAGTTTGTTCAAAAGTTTTAATGTGCTAATTCATGCAATATAATTGTGATATGATAAATCTTATGGTACCTGCTTAACAAATAAATAATGGGTGTGATTAGAAGCAAGTATAGTGTCACACATCTCCATCTAAAATTATGAATAATCATAGAAAATAATAGCTAATGTTTAATGCCAGGAACTGTTACCAGTTCTGTATGTATGTTTTTTCACTTTCACTCATTTTATTCACAGCAACTTTACAAGGGAAGCATTATTGTTATTATCCCCATTTATGAATGAGGAAACTGAGGCACAGAGATGTTGGATAAGTTTTCAGGATAACACAACCAGTAAGTGGCCAAAAGAGAACTGGAATTCAGGTTATTTTTGCTTCAGAGTGTGTATTCTGCACTCCCCACGTGTGTCAGTTGTAGGGAGTTGAAGCATTTGTCAGGCCTATTCCCAAGAAACGTAAAAGGCAGAAGGTCTATGTCACTAGATATGGGAATGTGTGTCAGATGTTCTCCCTAACATTCCTTTATCCTCATGTTGTGATAACCACTAAAAAGACTGTCTCAATATCTGCATGTAACACACTACCAAAAAAAGTTGTGGAGGTTTTTTTTTTTCACTATAGGCTTTTACACAAACAGCTACTCTTTTTGAATGACACCCTAACTTAGATTCTCAATATTTTTTCCTGGCTTCAAAGAAGTTTAACTGTTATATGTACATGCTGTCATCTATGTTAGTTTTATAGACGTACCTCTCAGGTTGATGAATTTACTAAACCATGAGATGAAATAAATAATGCATTCGCCTAAGCTCCAAATAAAAACATGATCTTGTAGGGTTTGATTGTTTCATGTAAGAAAAGATGTATTTTAGTAACAGATACATCTAACTGAAAAGAGTAGAGATGATGCAACACATCCCTTTAGGGCCCAGGGTCCCCTAGCAGTGGGAATACCATCAGTGCACTCACTAGTAAGAAATCTTGTCTGTGTGACCAGGTTGTCAAACGATTAGTATTAAACTCAACTGGCTAACAATATTTGTTCTTATATTCTAATGTTTCCTTTGTGTTCACCTTTACTATTCATACAACGATAAAGTCTCTGAAATCAGAGGCTGTGTTTTCCAGTCACTCTCTATCTTCTTTACTACCTCCTAGCTACACTTACTTACTCATTTGGAGGCCAAGGAGTGTGGGTTCTGTTTGTCCTGAGGGAGGTAAATAGTTAAGAGCCCGGTGGCCAGGAGCTGGCCCATTTGCAATGGATTTCATACTTACCCAGTGCTTGTGACTTTGGATGAGGTCCTCCTTATCATCATTTGCCTCCCTTTCATCATTTGCCTGAGGAAACTGCCCCTTAGAACCACCCTCCAGAGCTTGCTCTATTTCTAACCCTTGTTACTCCAGGGTTCAAGTAACCAGGATAAGGATTCCCCAAAACCTGAGTGGTACTTCTGTGAGATATCAAATGAAAAGCTAGTCACCTCATACTCCTGAGAATTCCCTAAATTTGTTTTGTTTTTGTTTCAGCTCTAGTCTGCTCACACACCAGGTTTAGAGTGGAAAAATAATTTCTGTCTCCTGTTACAGGATGCAAGGGAACTTGTAAATATATTTGTCAGTATTTGTTCATCTGGCAGCACCAACTGTCAAGAATCTGGACATCTTGATTCTCTGACAGTGTCTTAGCCTTTGGGCTACTGAGCAATGAAGACAGCTATGAACGGCCTCTATAGCTTGTCAAACAAAGTTTGCCATACTGACCATACTGGCTGGAAGCATCAGCATCGGCTGGGAGCTTGTGGGGGTCTTCATCCCAGACTTTCAAATCAGGATCTCAGAGAGAGGGCCCCGGGAATCTGTGCATTAGCAAATTCTTCAGGTGATTCTTAAGGACACTCAAGTTTGAGAAGCAGTGTCCTAAAGTATAGTGAAGAATGAAGCTTGTCTGTCTGAGTGGCTCTGTCATTTGCTATGATTTGGGGAAAGTTACTTACCTGGGCTGGGCTTCTGTTTCTCCTTCTGATTTGTCGTAGGTTTGATTGTGAAGACCCAATAGAACTTAACAATACTCAGTAAACACCGTTACTATAGTTGACATCATGGCTGTCGCTGCTTCATTAATCTTACCATCTTCAGCATGTTGCTGGTGGATGGAACAACTCTTCTCCAGAGCGTGTTATGTAAAGTAACGATTTCTTCTTGGACAGTTGCCAATTTGGTGAGGCGTGTCTTATATAGAACTCTAGCTGGTTTTACCTGTTACCAGGAAATTATTAATTAGTCTCACTTCTTTTAAGTGGAATTTGTCATGTATAACATATTACTTGTGCACTGATAGCAATATGAATTTATATTCTATATTTTATAAACAATGATCTACAGCATTTATAAATTGTTGATATCTTCATATATGTTTCCATATCTCCGGTGCTCCTTCTGAGGATTTCTGAATTCCAGTCTGATGTTGCACAGGTCAACAGAACATTCTGCAATTGGGGTTTTTCAAATTTGTGATCAGTATGGGCCATGTTGAAACACTTTTTATTGGGCAATACAAACCCTAGTGGAAATGTCTTGATATCACATCTTTTACTAACTGACTTCTTTTGCTTGGCTTATTCCCCACCCCACCTCTTCTAAATGTTCTGTTTGCTTCCCAAATAAATCACCTGCACAAATACTGTGTAAAGGCCTGTGTCTGGGAAAACATAATCTAAGAGATTCATTATTGAGTACAAAGTATCTTCAACTTGGATTCTACATCTTTGTCTTATTCATATGAGAAAACATTATTTGCATCCGTAAGTGTAAGTATTAACTAAAATTCATATCAGCTACAATCTAGATTTTTGAGATTGCTCTTTTGTTATCTTTTATCCTGTAACTTATAAGATAAATAAATGGCCTTAATAATTTAGATTAGCATTAACTAAAAGAGTAGCTTTTTTGTTACAGTCACAAATCAGATAGCTGAAATAGGATATTGATGAAATGCTTACCTTTTCTGGGTAAACCAAACAAAACAGAAAACAAATTTTTTTTTCCTATTCATGAAAAATGCATAGATAGGTTACCAAGAAGTAGTTCCTGCCCTAGATTCTCAGCTAATTTGAATTATCCAGAGGGGCTCCACTGAAGTAGGAATGAGTCCAGGAAGCCAAACTGCTTAGGTTCCCTTTCAGGCTCTGCCGCATCCTGGTTACCTACTCTTGGCCGCATGACTTAACCTCCAGATGCTTCGGTTCCTTTCTCTGCAACATTGGATTAAGAACTGTCCTTGCCTAATGGGGCTGTGGTGAGAATCAGGTGGGTAATGGGCATAGCATCCTCACAACAGTGCCTCTAACAAAGTGAGCTCTGTTACTGAGTTAGCGCTTATCTTTTTCTGGGAAGTAATTATGAAACATACAACCTGCACCTACTCTCATAATCAAAGCAGGCAGGAAGCCAGCAGCAGAGGCCAAAAACAAGAAGTGCCTCATTGTCGTCCTGAAAAAAAATATCATAATTTTAGATTACTGTGAACTTGTAGGATGTTTTGTAACAAGCTTTTTTTGAACCACTTTTACGTGTATTTGCATTTTCTGCAAAAAAGACCTGCAAATCAGAACAAGGGTCAGTACTGTAGTTGGCGGGACCAAGAGAGAAGGACAGAACTGTAATTGGAAGAAAAATAGACTCAAGGTCTTAATCCTTGGAACATTTGAATATGTTACATAATGTGCCAAGAGAATTAAGGTAGCAGATGGAATTCAAATTGCTAATTGGCTGACTTTAAAGCAGGGAGATATGCTGGATTGCAAGTGTGCTCATTGTAAGCACAACGGTTCTTAAATGTGGAAGAGGGAAGCATTGTCAGTGGCGGGTCATGAAGACGCCTTCACCAGCCATTGCTGACTGGAGATAAAGGGAAAAACCATGAGCAGAAGACTGTGGGCACCTCTGGGAGTAGGAAAAGGCAAGGAAATCAATTCTCCCCTGCTGAATATAGATTTTAAGAGAGAAGAGAAACTCATTTGTATTTCTGACTTCCAGAACCATAAAGTAATGTAGGGACCAATGGCGGGCCACCCCAAGATGTGCCACGTTTAACACACAGATTATATTGACCTGAAAACAGTCAAGGTCCAAAAGACTCAGAAGAAACCTTTGGCCTCCCCTACTGCCCCCAACTGCATAAAAGGAATTTAGATGGAGGAACTGCTCCAGGAAGACAGCCGTCACCACAGAGAACTACACTATAACATGAACGAAGTTTGGTAGGCAGGGAAAGAATTTGGCAAAATTTGTTAACATTTCTATGTCCCGTTGTTTCTTTGTGGCTTATCAAACATTTGTTCACAAAACATTCATTCATATTCCTATGAATTACTTCCTTTTCCCTTTGAGGTCCTGTGCAGAAATAATTTCATTTATTAAATATTTTAAGCACCTATTAGGTATCAGGCACACTTAAAAGTAAAATTAGATTTATATTCCCCCTCTCCTTAGTTCAGAATGATATATATAACTGTTTGTTCCTAAATGTCTTTGGAACTTCATGTCTGTGGATTCCCTGTACTACATAATTAAATTTTGTTTTTTTCTTTTTCCTGTTAATCTGTCTCATGCCAATTAATTCTTAGGCCAGCTAGAAAAACCTGGAAGGGCAGAGGGAAGTTCTTCCTCCTCAGCCATAATAAATTTATGTTTATAGTAATTTGTTAAATTAGCAACAGGAAACTGATACACAAACTGAAAACAAGATTAGATCTGAATTCTCTGTTGCCTTCTAGAAAAGGTGGGATCTTGGTGCTAGTCATTTGTGTGCACGACTTAGAGATATTCTGTACTATCCGATCACTCTGCTAGGAATAGCTGTCATTGAGAGTCAGGTGAATAAGACCTAGTGTACCATCCTCTTTATTTCTATTTGAAATAGGGTGCTGATTGTAGGATAATAATAAGTATAAGGTTATCCAATCTCGTTGGCACCTTCTTTTCAAATTCTGCCAGGTTTATTTCTGAATCTATCCTGCTGAGTGAGAAGCAGAAAAGGGTAACAGTTTGGTTTTCATTTTAAAGAAAACTTTCAAAGAACAGGTTAAAAGATTTGGGCAGAATAATACGGTTTGCTATTGCTCTCAAGCTTCCCCCACCCACTGCCAAACATGATATGAGGGGAATTACATAACTCAGTTCTTTCAGGAAAAATACACATTTGTCCTTGATCCCTCTTTTTTTCATCTTTTTTTCCCCTTCCTCTTTTTCTCCCTCCAAAATGTCACATATCCTCAAGATTTACAATAATATAGTGACTTAGATGATGAAATATGCATCCTGCTCTCTTAATCCTCAAAAAATCCAGTAAAGCAGATATCTTTTCCCTAGTTGATTGAAGAAAAAAAAAAGAGCTTCTGCAATATAGTATTTGATATATATATATAACAGATTAATATTGATACCCTACACTACAAATAACTAAATAAATATACACATTATACACATACACATACCTATGTATATATTCAATGAAGTGTTATTATTCAAGTTAATCTCCATTACATAGCTGTCTGTACCTTCTATTATTGCATTTTCTGATGGAAAAATTTTTGGGTGGTATGTCTAGTGGTTACTTTAATTGTTATATTTTAATGGGTATACACTAACATGTATTTTAATTGTACCTCCAAAAAGCTGTTATAGGTTTGAGAAATACCAAAAAAAATTTACCTGTTTCACACCACTCAAACAGTTGACATTGACAAATTGAATTTTGTCTTTCAAATTTTTTTGCCTTATATACTATTCAGTACTTAGATTTACACATAAACATATAATTTATATGAATACTGTATTCTGCTTTTCCCCAAATTGCTGTTGTTATTATTTATTCATTATGAACATTATTTTGATTTTGGTTAAAGTTGTATTTTCAGCTGTTGATATTTTTCTCTATAAGTACTGTTATTATGCATATAGTAACAGAAATACCCAGATATTTGTAGGAATTTTTTTCATGAATTACATAGGATTTGGTCTTCAGAATTGAGAGCCAATTGAAATCTTGGACTTATTCTTTTCAGGTGATACAAATCTAATTTTACTTTTAAGTGTACCTGCTCTGTAATTGGTGGTTAAAATATTTAATCAATGAATTTACTTCTGTACAGTTGAAGTGACTGGCTATTTCAGACAGATACACAATGTGTTCATTCAATACAGTGTGATGTTGAAAACTCACGCTGATCCTGGAGTTGACATGTTAGCCTTTCATCCTAGGTTCTCTTATTATCTGTGACACTATTGTTCCCTTCACAGTGCTGTGATCTGCTTAATGACATTCATAATCTGGGTTTAAAAGCATATCATATTTTATAAATGGACTGTAATTCAGATAGAAGGTCTTTGAAAATATATAGGATCACACACATTACTGGAAATATATAAATACAACCTGGACATTTTACATAAAGATATAATATCTTTCTTCTTTCATAAATGGGTGAAAAATCATTGTTTTATGGTAAAAGAGGCACGAGGAATTTGACGTAATATTGCGTATTGATGATTTAATACCAGAATTTATATCCTATGTAGGAACTGAAAGAACCACAAGACTTACCATGACTTCTCTGAAGTGATTATGGGGCAATTAGCATCACATGGGATTATAGTGACCTTAGTATGTTTGGCTTCCCCAGAGAACTCTGGTCAAAATTAAGGGCAACTAAGCTCAAAGCTAAATCCTAAAACAGGACCCTCAGATTTCTGAGCCCAAGTTTTGGCTTGGGGCTCATGAATAAGTTGAATATATGCACTTAGCCTAAAACCCTTCAGAGGACAGACGGTACAAGGGAAATAGCAGGATAACCTTTGTTTACTTAAGAGTCAAATATCCACTGAGTCAAAACAAGAAGGAAAAGATTAATATGTATTCATCAGTAGATAATAAAGCATTTAGAATGAGGGCTGAATGCAGGTAATTATGAAGGTATCTTTGTTGGCCCAGAAATTATGAAAGTATAGACTTTGGGCTCTGGGCTAGTCCTCAGAGACAGAGGCAGAGGGTCAAGCTAAAAGGGTGAAAACAGCCCAGAGATACTGGCAAACATTTAATCCTGCAGAAGTGAGAAGTGAGAAAGGTGCAGACATGGAGATTAGATTTGGAGCTCATGACTCAGGCTGAGTAGAGGTTGTTGGGGTGGAAGAATTAATAGGCCTGGGGTCTGAGACTCTAGGGACCCAGACTGAAGCTTATTTACTGGAGAATCAGGACAAGATAAGTCCTTGGGCCTGACAAGGGCCAAGCCTCCAGAATGGTCTAAACGATTCTCCACTGCATGGAGGACTGCCAACCTAGGAACTAAGAAGGCTGTTTTAACCAAGGAATTATGGTTCCTTGTGGTCAGGCTGAGGCAGCTTTTCTGAACAGAAGTATTCCAGAAACAGCAGAAGTATTACTTCAATGCCTTTAACATCAATCCACACTTAACACAATTATTTCATATGCAATAGGCAATTTAAAGTCAAAACTCTTAAATGATGATTACCAGATGATAATACCAGAAACTTGATACACTTATTGTTTAAATTTTTTTCCTTATATTTCTGTTTCATATTGTGTTTCTTACTAAGATATAAACAGAACATGGATATTTGCAAGTTAATATTTAGTAGGAAGAAAGACCACTTAAGGGAAAAGACTAAGGAACATGTCTGCCCTCCGGCATGCCCTTGGGAATACATACTCATATTAAATTGTTAGACCATGACCTTCTCAGAAAGTACTTACATGAAGAACAGTCTCTTCCTCATCTTAACCAAAGAATTCATAATAATGGACTCTATACAGATATATCAACAATTTTTTAAATCTTCTTTGCCTCTGTGAATTTGTCAATTTAAAAAATTTACTAAGGTATAAGTTACATTTAGTAAAGTATATAGATCTTTAAGTGTATAGATTGATAAATTTGTAAATATGCATATACCTTTGAAATCACATTCAAAAGCAAATACATATATCCATGAAAAGCCCTGGTCCCTTCTTTCAGTCAGTAATTCCCAAGAGTAAAATCTATTCTGATTTTCATATTTAGGAGTTAGTTCTATCAGTTTTGAAATTTTGTATAAGTAGTATATATATTTTTAGTCTCTAACCTCTTTCACTTAATATTATGCCTATGAGTCATTTCACCCATGTTGCATGTCAAGTTTATTTTTAATAGCTGTGTAGTATTTTACCATATGTAGAGAATATAATGTATTTACCCATTTTGTAATTAATGAATATTTGATTGTTTTCAATTCACAGCTGTTACAAATAAAATGTCTATGAACATTTATCCATATGTCTTTTGACATATATTATTCACTTTTTTTGGGAAATATACCTAAGAGTAGAGTTGTTGGCCGTATAGTATATAGTTCTCCTTCAGTAGGCATTGTCAAATATTTTTCCAAAGCAGTTACAGAATACTTTTATTCCCCTACCGGCTTT